TATTTAAATCATTGTATAGAAAACTGTTTTTGCCGACTGACTAATTAGTAAGCTTTAAAATTTTCACGGACGTGGATTATAAGCACAAAATATTAGAAGCGCAAAACTTAACACGGGCAAGGCCAGGGAATAACTGCTAGTCTTGATGTATATTCCCAAGTAAAACAGTGTACTTTAAATTAAGAACATTTAAATAGTTAAAAATGCAAATGATATTTTTAGCATTTAAATGCAATATTTAAAGGCATATATAATTAAGAAGCTGGTATTACCCGGCTTTGTCCGAACCCAGTTTTGTACGCACATTTTAGACATCATTTCCGACCGAAATTTCAATCTATGTGAGCGTTTACATATTTAAAAATTATTTTGCTGAGTATTGGATGAAAAAAACTACAATCAACGATTATTGTTAATTTATTCCTCTTTTATTCTTTTTATTGCAGAGCTTTTAAATGTCGCTTGATGAAGAATATAGAATTCGCTGTGATATCCTTTGACCGGCATTCTTCGGAAGATTCAAACTTTTCGCAGTATCTGATGACGATTTCAAAATCGTTAGGATGGTAAGCAAACATTTGTTAGTTTTTCACCTATTTTTCACAGTTGAAAGTGAAATTGTCTTAAACTCTGCGCGCACATCACATAAGGGATATAACTACAGTCAGCATTTCGACCTTATATTCTTCTGCGATTTGAGTTGCGGATTGGTTGCTAATTAGTCAATTACTCAGTCAATCAGGAACATGTTTTATATTAAGACTGCTCCACTCTCACGCTTGACAGATACATTGAGAGTCAACATATTCCTATGCATGGCACATTGTTATATCATATTCTCAGACCGCGCCCCAGCTTATCGGTCGTGTGCTTCTAAGTATTTATAGATATTGCACTAAATGATATGCTAATTCAGAAGCTTTTTAATCAAGGCCCTAAGCCAAAGCTGGGGCCAAGGAGAACGAACGCGAACGAACGAAAGCCAAAGCCAAAGCCAATGTCAGAGCCCAAGAAAGAAGCGTATTTGCATTTTGTTTACTTTTTGCCCCCATTGTTTTCTCTTCTGCTTACGCATTGTGTGCTCTGAGCTCTGTGTCCTGTTCTCCTGCTCCTGCTCCTGCTTTTACTCCTATGTGGCACAGTTCTATTGTTGCGCTCGAATGAAATCAATCATGTAATTTATGTTAGGATAATATGGCCGAGGCTACAGGCGAACCCCTCTAAAATGGACTGGCAAAGAAATAAATATTTAACAATAATTGATTTAAAAGGCGCATGCAAATTATTTCGCAGCAACAACAACGGGCTGCGCCAATCAAATGTAAGGACGTAGGACGAACTCGAGGTCTGTCGCATTTTTTCCTAAGCAGCTTGGCACGTGGGTAAAGCAACGGCTGCTCTTGACTGTTTTGGGGGTCGCGGTCTCAAGTGTTTACGGCCAGCTTTTTCCGGTTTTTTTTTTCCAATTTCCTTGGCCGCCAAGCAAACAACTTGTCCGGACGCTGCTTGTCTCTTAAGCGTGAAATTATATGAAATATCCTTTAAAAAGCTTTTGATTTCGCTACCAAAAGAAGAAAAAAAAAGAAACTGTTGCCAGGCTGGGCACAGACTGGGCTTGTATGCAAATGTTGTTCATCTGCTTAGCGTAAAAGTTGTTTTTCTTACTTCAGTTCGGGCTGCGGGAAAATCGCATTTGCATGCCTTTGTCTGAAGTTGACCTCCTTGCTGTTGTTGTTGTTGTTGTTGTTGCTGTTGTCGGCGCTGCGTCAGGTGTTGCGTCCAGGTCTCTAATGCTCCCTGTTAACGCCCTTAATGGCATAGACAAGCTGCCTCCGCCTGCATAATGGAGCTGCTCAGCAGCTCAGCTGTCGCCTGTCAGTTGCATTCATTCACCTGCTCTCTAATGTTAATGACATCTCCTGGGCCGCTGCATCAGACCATTTTTGGGCAACTTAGAGAGAGAGAGAGGGGGAAAAAACTAGCCCAGTAGCTGCTGAGCAAGTGAAAGGCGCTGGGCTGGGAGTTAGGGCTAGCTGGTAAGAGAGAAGGAAAAAAAAAAAATTAGCATTACTTCCGAGTGATCACAATCGGCGCATACTAATTGCTCGCTGGCCGCTTGGTGGGTTTCATTCATGGCAATCATTGAGTAGCTGCATCCAAACTTGGCATTGCTGAATGATTCTGCTGTGATTTTTTCCAGCCTGTCTAGACGAATGTCTCCTCGGTTCATATAAGGCAACGCGGCGACGACGCGCATTTGCCTCGATACGCGACTCTCTACTCCCGAGGCCTGCTGATCTGTGCTGCTTTCTGCCGATTCACAGGAAACGTGAACGGGACCAGTTGGGCAACTGAGTTGTCGCCCGGGATGGGCAGGGGAAGTGGGATGGGGATGGGGTTGGGTTGTCGGGAACGGTTACCCTTGCTGCTGCTTCTTACGAAACAACAGAAAACACCAATCATCCACATCATTGTCAACACGCCATCGTCGCCGTCAGTCCATAAACGGACGCACCTTTTGCCTTTTAAGGAGGCACAGCTCTGTGGCCTGTCATAACTCTTGGTAGGCGTACCATAAGCTCCGTCAGCTCCGTCAGCTCCTCTTGGATCTCGGTTCGGCACGAAATGGTGCACTATGCTCTTGCCTAAGACTCTTTCTCTCGATCTGGTCATTCTCATTGCAATTGCATCCAAAAATGGCGCAGACGCCGCAGCTTCATGACGCGCGCTGGGAATATCGAAGCCCAGCTTTGTCGTCGTCATCCTCATCGTCGTCGTCATACTTTCGCTGGAGGCACAGTCTCCAGGCTGGCGGATGGTGCCTTAGCCAGCTGTTGTCCGCTTCGCTTGGTTCTCAGCGCTCAAGTGTCAAGCGTCAATTGCCGTTGAGGTTTATTGCCTTGGCAGCAATTAAAGCGATTTCGGCTTTGGGGCTTGGCCATGTGTAAAGTCAGCGCATTTGATTTGATTTTTGATTGGCTGTCATCAGCATTGATTGCAGAATTGAATTATCAAATTGGATTGGCCGCCTTCCCGAACTCGATTCATAATTGAACGCCAACCGGATCGAAACGTACTTCTAATGAATCAATACAGCTGTCCAACAATGTCAAATGCTTTCTATATCCCGCAGTCGTGCAGTGAGTGCTAAAATGAGTTACTTTAATTGTTTATAAATATACAATCAGTGATATGGCGACAATCCATCTAGCTATGACTGATCTTGCCATGACTCACTTCTTCCCAGCTTCTACAACATTTTAGTCATTCATTGGGTTCAATTTCTTTTCACTTGATTTCCAAGTAAAAATGTTATGTACTTGTCTAAATTGTGTTAAATTTCAAAAATTTGGTCTTGTGATGCTTGGCCGCGTGAATTTTTAAATCTATAAGAACTAGAGACTTAAGTCTGTGAACATAAGTCCTTCTATCATAGGTCCCTTGTTTCTGATATTCGATACCAATAACTTGTTCTGTTTCTAAACAATCAAGAAGATTTCATATCGAAACTATTTTTTAAGCAAATCTTTTAAGTCTTCCAGAATAGTATATAGGGATCTAGCATTTGGCAAAGTTATTTGCATTGCTCTCTACGTAAGATTTGATTATTTGATACTTTATTTGTTTTGAAGGTATAAAAAAGCTTTCAAGATGTTTTGTCTTATGATGCATTTGGACTAATCCAAGCCATAGCTGAATACGTTGGAAACTTTTATTAGGCAAATTTTCGTATCCATCATTTGCACTACGGCAATTTGGCTAAGTAAGTTTATATTGCTGGCTGGCCCTGGGCTCCGCACCCGCCCGCAGCTGGGCGCTTGCATAACTCAAAGAGAAAAATTCATCACCGCAATATGCACAACACATTCAACAGAAATGTTGAGAAAAAATAAAAAATAAAACAGTAAAATAGAAAAGTGGCAGCAAGGAAAATTGTCATAAAGGTGCAACTGACAACAGCAGCAGCAGCAGCAGCAGCAACAAGAAGAAAAGCGAGCCTCGTAAATTTCAATTTATATGCAGAATGAGCAGTGAGTAAAAAAGGCAAGCACACACACACACACACACACACACACACACACACGCACACACATGTATGTACATCTTATGCTACATGCAGCCAACGCAATGGCGAAAAGTGTCAACGTGATATTTTCTCGAAATTTTCCAAGATTTCTGTTGCTTTTTTTTCCATCCTCCTCCTTTTTTTTTTTTTGGCTGTTTTCTGCAGCGTGCAAGTGGAAAAAGCAATTTCATTAGACAAATTGAAAAAAATAAGTGCAAGGCAACAATAATAATAATAGACATGCCCGTTATACGACCATGTTATATACATATACATAAAGATATATGTAGCTGTGTGTGTGTGTGTGTGTATGTGGGCCAAGCACATAAGCCCGGATAGACGCCATGTTGTGGCAGCTGAAGCATTTCGTTGGTCGCTTCCCATTCGCTGCGTTTATTTTTGTTTGCTGACGCGCATACGAGTAGGAGCCACGCAGCCCCCCACTCCCCTTCCGCTGCCCACCCACACACCCCCTCTCATAAGGCTATACCCAGTTATGTGTAGCCAGGCCGCATGCATGCCACCGAGTTGCCATCCAGCAGGATGCTGCGCGCGCGTTGAAAATAGGCGGAGACTTGGCGGCCAACGGCGCCTTTCACACTTGGCGCAAAAAAAAAAAGAAAAGCAATGAAAATGGCAAAACAAAACGGAAAAGCAGGCAGTGTGGCAAATAAAAAAGAAAATGCAACCGAACCGTTAGCTGTTAGCTGTTAGCTGCTGCTGCTGCTGCTGCTCTTCCTTATCAAGGCCAGAGCTCGGCAGCATTCGTTTCAGTTATCCGCATCGTCGTCGCTGATTGGAAGCTTCGGCGTGCCGTTCGTTTTTGGGGCGGAGCCCAAAAGCTCTGAGCACAGTGGCGCCGTCGCTGGCACGGGCTTGCGAATGGGGGGGCTGTTGCCCGTTTGGGGGGTTTCTTTATTGAGTGCTAAGGCGCTTACAAGACATCTATTCCCCGGACAGCCGTTATCATGCCCACAAATCCTTTGGTCACTTCACGTGCCACGGGTATTATATACTCCGGCGGCAGCAGAAATCCGTATTTGCCTCTATCCCGCAGCTCTTTGGTGTACGGTCATAATGTTCGGGAAACTCCTCCGCATTGTGACCCCAAGGTGAAAGCACAAGTTGGCTATACGAATGCAGGGATATATAGATTTTAATGGTATCTTCCGGTATCGAGTTGTTTATGTAACGGGTCAGCTGATTTATCTCCGGATCGGACTCAGCACAGGGACCCGCAAAATAGTTAGAGCAAGGATCATCTGAAGCGCCAGCCACTGGAAAGAGTTGTATCGAAGGAAATGAAAGCCGATTCTTATATGAAATGTAGGATGTCTTATTAGATACTTCCTAATAAGTATGTAGACATTCAGACTAACCCATCCAGCGATAGTTGAAATTTCGATTTAAATCTGTGGCAATGCACTCGCCCGCAGGATCCGAGGGAAATCGCGATATGCGCCACAGACGTTCCTTAAATCAAATGTCAATAAATAATTCAATGGCTCCTAACAAAGAAGTTGTACTTGCTTAATGAGGTCTAGTACAGTTTTTGGCAATTTTTATGCTCCAGATATATTCTAATCTTTAGTATATATCGCCAGCAAGTGATTTCTTTTCGGCACTCACCACGTCATGGGAGTACGTAAAACCGTCCACAGTCCACAGGGGTATTATGTACCAGTTCACATTCCGACTGTCCCTAACAACTGGCTTACCAGGCACGAGCAGCTCATCTATGAAATACGTGATGGTGGCCGAGGTAATCCACTCGTTGCCATGTATATTGGACTCGATGAAGACGGCGCTATTGCCGGGTTTGTAGGAGATCTTGATGCCTCGAATTGGACGACCCTCATAGGAGTTGCCAATCGTGAAGGGTGTGACAATGTGAGGATAATGCGTCTCGATCACATCCAGCCAGGCGTAGATCTCGTCTAGCGTGTGGTACTCCGTCCACTCCATTTGGCTGGTGCGTTGTCTCGATCAGGCGCTGCACGTTGTCAATCTTGATGCTGTAGCTGAGGTTGTGCCGGTTGAGCAGGTCCTCAAAAGCGTCCTGGCTTTGGGGCGGCAACATAAAGTCCGAGTAGTCGCCCGGATGACGCGCCTCACGCCAGCTGCTGAGCTGAGGAGAAGAGTGTGTTATATGGAGGAGACTTCTCAATTAACTTGGGCTACCTTGAGAGTTTTCTCATTTTCATTGAGCAGCTGAGACTGTTGCACATTCTCGATTTGAACTTTGTACAACTTGTAGTTGTCATAGCGCAGCTGCTTTACTCCCTTGGCCAGGCTAAGGCAAGCGAATAGCAGCAGAACTTTTAGATGCATACCTCTCGATCGGACTACTACTTATGGACTGCCTGTGGCCCAGCCATCGCCTATGTTAGTTGATTAGGCAATGTTATCGCTGGGCTTGTATGGCTCTCCAATATCCAAGGCAATTGAGGTTTTGGTTTTATTTTATTTTTTTATCTTAGTTGAAACTTTGATTCTTTCAACTGGCTGCCTTGTCAGCATAGAGCTAGTGGAACTTGAAGTTGTCTGGCCAAGCCCCCGGTACTTAGGCTGTCTCTCAACTTTGCACATAAATTGTGTGCAACGGCAGCCCATTTCATTGTAGGTCACTGCATAATGAAGTTACCGCCCCGGAGCACATAAATTCAGCGCTTGCTGGCGGAGATTCCAGCCTTCAGTTTGACTTGTCGCTGGCATTAGTGCGAAATTCTGTTTAGGCCTTTTTATGTCCCCGGTGCTGTCCTGTGGTGAGTGCTTAAAGGACTTTCGGCGCTTGGTCATATTTTGCGCGGGTCTTAGACAAACAGAGCTGGGGCTGTATATAGTTTCCCTTGCCGTTGTCACCGCATGAGGTGTGCCAACGTGTGTTTTTTATTACGCCGCTGCGGAGGGTGTGAGGTTTCTAGATGTGACCAGGAGAAACGCATCAAAGGGACTTATAAGGCAGTTAAGGAAAATGAAGCTCACAGGCGCACGGCCTCATATCTATTCATTAAAAGCCTCGCATAGCTACAAGATTTTACCATCGTCTAAGATCTTATCTATTACTATTTGGTGTAAAAGCTCGTGTATCAGATAATGAGATAAGTTCACAAGTGCTTGCAGGCAGCTGTTTATCAGCCAAAAATTGATTTATTTGCCCTTATAATTTAAAACTGACGCACTTTGATATACATACAAGAAAAAACAACACTAAAGCTCAGCGTATTAAATATTAGCTCAATGTCAGCCCGTCTTCATATAACTTAAATATGAATCCTATCGATCACTCGCCCAATTGTTCCATTTAATATTTTATCGATTTGTTTTTCAAGCGATATTGTATGAATTACTTATTCTAACCGATATCTTGTCGATTATTTTTTCTATGCGCTATCTTTTTGATTGCATGCTCCAATCGATATGTTATCGATTAGTTGATGAAACCAACGACAAATCGATCACTTGCTTAATTTGCCATCTTGTAGATTACTTGTTTAAATCAATATTAAGTCGATTAATTTCTCCAACGCTGTCTTGTCAATATGATGGTTCTTGCCGCAACGGATACCTTATCGATTTCTTGAGCCAAGCGATATATTATCGCTTACTTATAAGCTTTTCGTTATCAGTTATGAGTTTCTATAGCTTAACAATCCCAGAACTTTGATAAAAACATCAGAAAGTCAACTAAAAAGCTGGGCGTATTATAAAAAATTATGCCTTTGCCAATCGTTTTGCTGATTTAAAATGAAGCTCTATCAAATGTATCTGGTGTTGGTTCTCAGCTGCTGGGGCATGCTGTTGCACCCGCAGCTGTACTTCTATACCGAATCGAAACAGCAAATGCTGGGAGTGCGTATACTAAACACATGGCCGGCTCTGATTCAGGCGAGTTTCTATACCGTGCCCGCAGTGCTGGCCCTCTGCCTGCCTAGTCACCAGGTGTTGCGGGGCCGTGTTCTGGTGCGCTATAATTGCAACTGGTTATTTATGATACCCTACATAATGCACTGCCTCTACGGATTTGGGAATGGCCTGCTTCACATGTTTCTCCAGATGAGGAGCCTCTCCGTCCTGAATGCGGCGAACTTTATCAGAGCTCTAGTCAAGATTATACTCGTGTATAGCATGCAGATGTATGCCATACTCGAAATGGCCATGACACTCTGCTACGGACTGAAGATTTTGGCGCTGGATGGGTCGAGACTCTACTGAGCCGGTGAAACTCGATTCTCGACATTCGCAGCTGGCAAGTGGCAACAGCTAACAACAATTAGCTGGGGCTTATTTGATTAGCTTGCTAATTGCCAGCAGGCAGCGACTCGCACCAATAAATTCATGCACATTAATTCCTTATCAGCGCAATAAAGCTAGCAAGCCGGATTAAAGCCCGGTTCGTGGTATTCAAGGGGCCTCTGGCGCAAAGTTGCGCCCAACTTTCAACACCTTTGCACAGTGGGGGGGAGGGGCGTGGAAAATTGTGTAAAACTTTTAACCAAAGAAAACTCCTGGTTGCGCGTACGATAAGCCAGCGTCGCATTTTTAATTGGCCAGGATACTCGGGCAGGCAGCTTTAAGACAAGGACTCGCCTTGTTAGCCGGATGCCAGCCTTTAAAATGTCATAAATATCACGGACAGCCGCTTCCTGGCGTGCATTTTTTGCGCCAATACATTTGGTTAATTGTGGACAAAAAAAAAAGAACGAAAAGCCATTGACATAACATAAATCTGGACTCTCCGGCGGGCTACTTAACTGGCCGGCTGGCTGGAGGACGTGGCGTATGCGCAATATTTGCAGTCAACTGGCAGAAATGTCAATGCCGGAAAGTGTTTAGCATTCGCCTATTTTTTTTTTTCGCAGTCACATGTTTTGGATTTAATTAGCCCTAAAATGTCCAAACCGCTGCACGACTCCGCAAAATGGCAGCTTTGCATGCCATGCGAGAAATGTATCCTCGTTGCGGCCGGGAGCCCAAGGATAAGCTAAGGAAAACCCCGCTAGGAAGGAAGTTGCATGTTTACCTCAAGTTCAATTTGCTTGCTTGAACATTTCGGACAGCTTTTCTCACATGTGAAGTGCAGCGAACTTACAGGAGGCAACTGGAGGGAACATGTCAAGGTTTTGGGCCATAAGTTTGAAATATGGCCAAGTACTTTTGGCATTGTTTGCGTCCAAACTTACTCTGTCTCTAACGTAACAGACAAATGCCTCATTTAAAGTCTTAAGGCTATGAAAATCGCCGAGAAAGGCGTAGACAGTTAGAAAAGGGTTTCAGAGAGGTTGACTGTGGATCATGGAGGCTTAGATTATAGGCGTCTTGTTTTCCGAGTGTTCCTTTATTGAGTGCTAAGCAGCTTACAGGACGTCAACTTCTCGGGCAGCCGCTATCATGCCCACAAATCCCTCCGTGACCTCACGTGCCACAGGTATTATATCCTCGGGCGGCAGTAGGAAACCCAGCTCACCTTTATCGCGTAGCTCTATGGTATACGGTATGGTGATGTTCTTCACACCATAGGCCCATTCCTTACCAGAACCAGATACGGCATCTAAAATAGTCGAGGTAGAGATAGAGAGTACTTCCAGATATAAGTTTTATATAGAACTTACAGAGAGTTGTGGCACTGGATCCATAAGTAAATACCGTGCCATAGCGTCGGACCAAGGCATCCGCGAATCCTTTAGCAACAGCCATCATCTGGGGATAATGTTCGGGAAACTCGTCAGCGGTGTGACCCCAAGGCGACAGGACATACTGTCCATACGAATGCAGGGATATATAGATTTTAATGGTACCTTCCGGTATGGAGTTGTTTATGTAACTAGTCAATTGATTTATTTCCGGATCAGATTCAGCAGAAGGACCTGCATACGTTTCGGAGCAAGGATCATCCGAGGCGCCAATCACTAATAATAATTAAATTACTCAATTAATATGAATATTACACCCAAAAGCTAAGAAAGATAGAGAGATATTCGATTGTACTCACTCATCCAACGATAGTCAAAGTTTCGATTCAAATCTGTGCCAATGCACTCGCCCGTAGGGTCCGAGGGTAAACGCGACTTGCGCCACAGACGTTCCTAAAGGGAAAACAATAAACAAATAATAAATTGATTGGTAGCAATTCTTGACTGCTTAAAATTACAAAGAGCTTGATAAGACTAGCTCGTAATCTGGTCGGCACCTATGTTATTTGGATACAATCTAATCTAGGCGTATATTCACAACCATTAGAATATATCGCCACCAAGCTATTTATTGCTACTGACCACTTCATGTGAATGGAAAAATCCGTCCACATTCAGCACGGGTATGATGTACCAGTCCACATTCTGTGCTATGTCCCTCACAGCCGGATTACGAGGCACGAGTAACTCATCTATGAAATACGTGATTGTGGCCGAGGTAATCCATTCGCGTGCGTGTATATTGGATTCTATAAAGACAGCGCTGTTGCCGGGCTTGTAAGAGATCTTGATGCCTCGAATTGGACGACCCTCATAGGAGTTGCCAATCGTGAAGGGTGTGACAATTTGAGGATAGCGCGCCTCGATCACATCCAGCCAGGCGTAGATCTCGTCCAGCGTGTGGTACTGCGTCCACTCCATTTGGCTGGTGCGTTGTCTCGGACGCTGTGCATCGATCAGGCGCTGCACGTTGTCAATCTTGATGCTATAGCTGAGGTTGTGCCGGTTGAGCAGATCCTCAAACGCGTCCTGGCTTTGGGGCGGCAACATAAAATCCGAGTAGTCGCCCGGATGACGCGCCTCACGCCAGCTGCTGAGCTGAGGAGAAGAGCGAGTTATATGGAGGAAACTTCTCGATTGACTTGGCCTACCTTTAGGGCTTTCTCATTTTCATTGAGCAGCTGAGACTGTTGAACATCCTCGATTTGAACTTTGTACAGCTTGTAGTTGTCATAGCGCAGCTGCTGCCCCCCTTGGACCAGGCTGAGACAGGTGCAAAGCAGCAGAAGTTTTAGATGCATACCTCTCGATCGGACTACTACTTATGGACTGCCTGTGGCCCATCGCCTATGTTAGTTTATTAGGCAATGTTATCGCTGGGTTTTTACTATTCACCTTTATAGCTCATTGAATATGTGAGCCAATTGGGGCGCTTTTTTATCAGTCACAGTGGGGACTGCTCGCCATGCCAGCGTGATGACTGCGGCCTCTGTGTTTTCGTACATTAACCTTTGTCGTTTTTTAATTAATTGAAACTTAAGAGAAATTGCATTTTCTTATTATATATTTGATTTGATTTACTCACTATTTAATTTTATTCTTCTCATTATTATATTAGACATTTTCTGCCTGACTATT